ATAGAAAAAAGTGCAAAGTTGGAATCCTTATTTGCACCTTTACTCGTTCTCCTCCGATGATCGACAAACCCTATCTTTGGTGATGTAGTGTTGTTTTACCTCAATTCGTTAGTTTCTTATCTTAGTGATTGATGAATTACCTAAGTTGGATTTCAACAATGGAAAAGGAACTAATTATATCGAAGAGATTTTTCTTCTTTAATGTAAAAATAATCAGTAATCATCTGTGAGATCTGTTACGTTGTTCCATGACATACTTCATTTGGTATCTCTCTTTTAACACGCTTAAGTAATACCAGCAATGAGGTTATGTTATGGTATTTTTTCAGTCATTTTTATCCAGCAAGAAGCCTTTTTCTCTTCCTGAGTATGTAGAACGTAGATGGATCTGCATTTAAAAAAACTACTCAGATTGCTCTTGGTTTAATAATTGCCATTGGATTATTAAATAGTCTTCTGTGCCATGCATTACACATATTTGATAGGTGTATCCCACAACTATTTGGGATAGGTTTGATTTCCATACCCCCAATTTGTAATTTGTAAAAAAAAAAAAAAAGAGAAGAAAAAGAGGGCCAACATGAATTTTCAGATCTTTCATTCAATATGACTTGCTCTGAGATTGCAGGTTAGATATTTTAGTACCATTCTAGATTCCTTTTATAATTTTCATTTGGTACTAACTGTTTATTGCGTTCAAGACATTATTGTTTGGGACTGCATCGATCCAAACAATTAGGTTTTTGGAAACGTGTATTTGTCTTTGAAGGGCTTAATTTAAATATATGTATTTTAAAATACATTATTTATATTTGAAATATAAGAAGAGAGAATTGAAACTTATGAGGTAAAAGATTGTAATTTTTTTTTTTTTTTTGGTTTAACAAATCTAGTTAAAAGCAAATTATTCATGTTTAAATTAGAAAATTTATGAGAAATTATTTTTTTATCGGCTTTCCAAAAAATTAAATTTTAGTCAAGAAAATAATAAGTAAACTAAATCATAACCTCTTAGATTAAAAAATGTATTTAAAATACATGTAATTTTAAGTTTAAAATACAAAGTCTCTAATACATATATTTAAATTAAATTCAAATAAGCTTTATTTAAATAAAAACTAACAATATATTTAAATTTGGAACTCCAAATTCACATGCATTCCACCCAAATTTATATTCCCAAATAAACCGCGAATAAACTTTGTGAATTTTACATTAAGAGCATATTAATCATAGAGAGGATGAGTAAAAGCAGAGAAATACTTAATTGAAACAACAGCTACTAAATTAATGAGGTATATCATTTTAATTATATAGGATACCTAATAAGTGTTTCACACGGTTTAGAACTAAAATAAAGGTTCAAACTCGACACAAAAGAAAAGAAAATTAGAAAAATAAGAAAAATCACATGTTATAAAACCCATCTAGAATGCTCAAAAAATGTGGCATGTATTGAATTTACTTTTGTTCTTTAATACTTAATTTTGTTCATGGAAAATGATTTTCCATAGATTATATAGTTATTGTAG